TAGATGGGCTGTGTGTGCGTGTGTTGAGGGCTCAGAAGGCAGCAAGCTTGACTCCTCCTGACCTGCCTTAGGGCTCAGAAAGTAGCAGATGTCTTCTCTTTACTCGTTACCTCTTCTTTGAATCTTAATAAATTCTTCTCCCTGGATATAAAGTTAGGAAGAGAGGCTTCCTTTCCCAGAGGGGCCACAGGACCGTGGGTTGCCCCCCAAGACTGTGACAGGAGAGCTGGCCAGACTTGGGAAGGGAAATTGATTCCTAGAGTCAATGTTGGTGCCTCCATCAGCAGTTCTCCATCTGGGGCAGGTCTGTCACCCCAAGGGATGTTTGGAAATGTGTTGTGTCTTGGGGACATTGGCTATTTTTTTAAACATTTATTGTAAAAATTGTTTATGAATTTTTTTAGAGCAATTATAAGTTCATGGCAAAATTGAGAGGAAGATACAGAGAGTCCCCACATATTCCCTGCCCCCACACATGCACAACCTCCTTCCCTATCATTATCCCTCACCAGCGGGGTGCATTTATTACAAGGGATGAACCTGAGAATGGCTTTAATGCCCAGGTCCAGGGATGCTAAATATCCTGCCATACCCAGAACAGTCCCATCCGAGGAGGACTTGAATCGCCCCGGCACCAGCTGCATCTCCTCTTACGTCCTTTGAAGCGATGGGTCTATATACTCTTTGTTGGCTTTTATTTGAAGGAATGTGGATTATGGGAGAGCGGAGGTGAGTAAGAGGGCCTTGGGGATTGGACAGCGGGCTGACGGCACCGTCCTCTCTCTGATGTGCACGTAGTTGAATAAGAGCATTCAACAGCGCTCAGGAGAGAGGAAGATGATGAATTATCTGTAATCTATCTGGGCCAACCTAATGAGGTGACTCACTCTTGTCCCCATTCTCCAGGGTCAAGAGGAACATCTTCGAAAAAGGGTCTCAGGGACCCGCAATTGAAGGCAGCTGCTCATGAGGACGATAATGTACCAGAATTGATCAAGTGTCCCTTTCAGCAAATACGTTTCCCCCACAGTCTGCACGTCCAGGGACGCAGTGCTGTGTCATGGTTGCACAGGCTCTGGGCCAGCCTGTCAGTTTGAATTCCAGCATCGCCACTTCTTTGCTAGCTGTATGTCCTTGGGCAGGTCCCTGCTCTATGCTTCAGTGCCCCTATCTGTACCACAGTACCAACCTCAGAGGCATTATAAAGGTAAAGGAGATACCTCCACAGCGCTTGATGCACAGGAAACACTCGATGATAAAAATGATGATGATGATTTCTCTAGCTAGCTCTTCAACCCATTGTAACTGAGATTTTCCTCCACCGTTCTGTGGAAACCTCTCTCCTTCGGGCCGTCTTCTGATCGTCAAATGCAGTGGCCAGTTTTATTCTTCGTCTTTCTTGGCCTCTGGATGTGATGCTCTGCAGTGTCTGGAAAGTCTCCTCCTTCGACTCCTAGCACAACAATCTTTTCTGATTCTCTTCGACTTCTCTGGCCATTTCTTCTCATTCTTCTTCTCCACCTCTTCTTCCTCTGCCTGAATTTTAAGTAGTGGGTTCTCCAGGCCTCTGTGTTATTCTTTTGTTTCTGTGACGTTTTCATGGGCGACCCCATCCATCCCTTGGGAGTCTGTCGTAGAACACTTCTCTCCCCCACGGCTCTTTCCCCTGCCCTTTCAGATTCTAGAAGAAATAATGTGGAGAAAGCAGACACTGTTTAGATCACAGGCTTTTGGAACATTTTGTTGACCCCTCACTTTGTCCGTTGACTTGATGACAGCAGATTGAAATGCCCCAATGTTATACCTTCTCCAAAGTCCTCCTGATTTGGTGTCCTTCCTCCATGTCACCATAGCAACCCAGGTCCCATAATGCTGAGAATGGAAGGGCTAGGTGTGGGGAGTCTTCTGTTGTTTGGTCTTTGGGGACCCGGATCCCCAACACCCCCTTTCCTCCTTTCCTCCTTTCGCCTTTTCCCCCACCTATAGCTTTCTAAGAAAGGGTGAGATGAATTTTTACACGTCTGCAAATACCTTTCTTTTGCCTTTACAAATGGATGAATACATATTTAGGTGCAGAATTCTAGGTTAAACTTCGGTCCATCAGGATTTTGAAGGAGTTTGCTCAGTTACAGGAACGGTAGTAGGTTGTCAGGGAGACTTATGCTGCCATCTGATTGCTGTTCCTTTTGAAATATGGCCTGTCCCTCCCTCTTGGAAGTGCTTAGCGTCTTCTCTTTATCCTCATGGTTCTGGCATTTTATAATTTTGTGCCTTGATGTGTGAGTGTGTGTGTGTGTGTGTGTGTGTGTGTGCATGTGCACACAGGTGTGCATGCTCATGTAATCTTTCCTGCGTGTATTAATTGTTCTGGGAACTGGGTAGATAATATTTGGGGGAAATTTTTCCATATTTTTTTTTATTCTCACTCTTATCTTTTCTATTCTTTTCCTCTTCCTCTTTGCCTCCCTGCCTCTCTTTGTCTTCTGTTAATCAGACATTGGATCTCTGGATCAAGCCTTTAATTTTTGTTTCCTTCCCATTTACCACGTTTTCCCCTTTTGTTTGGCTTTCTGGAACATTTCCTTGGCTTATCTTCCACTCTTCTTTGACATTAAAATTTTGATGATCATAATTCTCAAGGATTCTTTCTCACCTTCCAATTGTTCACATTTCACGTACCATCTTGTTTTCTGGGTGCAGCGTCTTCCTTTATCTTTCTGGGCATATTTTTTTAAAAGAAGCCTTCTGCTCCCTGCGTCACCTCTGGTTCCTGCAGGTCCCTGACTGTCTGTGTGTCTTGGGCTCCCTCTTCCACGCTGAAGCTTTGCTGAGGTGTCTGGTGACCCTGGATGGCTTCTTTATATTTAGGAGTTGAGCTCTGGAAAGCTGGAGAGATCCTGCTTTGTGCGCATGGGTGGGGCTTGTCCACATCCTGCTTCACCGAGGCATCTCTCTTTGGGAGACCCTCACGCATCACCCTCCAGAAGTCTTTTTTGAGGCATTCAGTTTCTCCAGAGACGCACTCTGTAATTCCCTGTGGGGTGGGAGTGTTTGAGGTGAGACTAGGGGTGAGGTGGCTGGTAGGCAGGGTTGCTCCTGGTTTCTGTTGTTCTGGGAGCAAGAAAGGGCTCAGCCTCATGCTTCACCCCGGTCCTCCCTTGAATCTTTCAGGTTCAGTTTCTCTGGGAATAAACCACTAGACTCCGGTGGGATGAAGGTGAGGTGATGGCCGGGTGCCTTGTTTCAGCCCCGAGCCTCACCCCAGCCTTCCTGGGGCTGATGTCCCTGCAAGGACTGGGCCTCTCCGGCTGGACAGACTTTCTGTCACGTCTCCCCGCCGCACATCTGGTGGTTGTTTCTTCAATATCTTCCTCTTCTCTCTAAGCGAGCGTTCCTCCTTGGGTTTTTCATCTTCCAAAACATTACTGAAATGTCTCATTTCCTCTTGTCTCCTCTCCTCCTCTTTCTCTTTGTGCACAAACGTTTCTCTAATTCCTTTGTGTGTGAGTAGCACTTGGGGAGAGGAGGGTAAAGGCTAGTGCTCAGTTTTCTGTGTTTAACTTGAAATCTCTGTTGGGGTGTTTCAAAAAAAAAAAAGTTTGCAAGGTGTTTTCAGCAACTGGCCTCTTTTTTGCCAGGCACGTGATGATTGTGAGTGTCTGGGCAACCACGTCCTGCTCTGTTTCCCCGTGGTCTCCGAGCACAGTTAGACATTTGTCGTGGAATAGAATATGCTTGTCTGGGCTGGCGGAGTGGCATTCAGGGTCCTCAGTTTGTGTTTGCCCGTCTTCCATTTAGTTCTGCCTCATTGGCGCTTCACCTTGCTGTTTGATGGGAAACATTCTCCCCATAAACTGCAGTAAGAAGTAATGGATTTCTGCAGTGGAAATATTGTTCAAGCCGCAAAACCAAATCACAGCAGGCACTTTGTCTTGGGACCGTGTGTCTTGCAAAGCAGCCATTTAAAACGCCACTTGGAGGAAGCCACAAACAGTCACAGCTAATTCACTTTACAGGAGTTTTATTTGTACATGTGGGAGAATCGCGCCACCAAGCAGAATCATTGCTCTACCAAGACAGCGGCATGAATTGTCTTTGTCAACTTGTGTTTGCAAATAACCTTCTTTACTGGGTTTCTTCCTTGGGTTGGAAAATGGTGACACTGGGGCTGGTGAAGACACAAATGATGTTCTTTGAGGCCGTAGGGGCAAGTATATTGGAGCTTTCAAGGATGGGACAGGTGGCCCATCTGTCTGTGGCTGACAGTGGTGCAGGCTGAATTACTGTCAGCCGTGAGAGCGGGCTCCGGTTAGATCCAAGGCCACGCTGGGCTTGTCTCTCTGTGGGCCAGGGAGCGTGGACAGCAGAGTCCAGGGAAAGCTGCTTCATCCTCCTGTAGGAATCTGATGGCCCCTCTGGAAAGGCTGTCCACCCTCCAAGGCCCTAATGAGAGGTTCCAGATCTTAGCTGGACATGGGACTCCCAAGGAAGGTCTTTAAATCTTAACGCCCAAGTTGCACCCCCAGACCAACTGTATCGGACTCTTTGGGGGTGGGACCCCACATCTGTAGGTTTGAAAGCTCCCGAGGAGACGAGGGACAGGGTGCATCTTGCTGCTAGATCTTTTTTTTTTTTTTAAATCCTTTTGTTGTTATGTAAGCAAAGAAACGTATTTATACTTTTGATTATTTTGAACTAGTTTGGATTTTGGGGAAAGTGGAAATAATTCATGTCATCGTCATTTCAATTTACTCTTATTTTGCAGCTGTTTCTGTGATGTGATGGGGTAGATTTCTCTCTCTCTCTCATGAAAGAGAATTAAGTGGTAGTTCTTAATTCAGAATCCAGAGTGTTTGAAAGGGAATGGGGAATACTTTTCCAGTGGATTTTGCTCCTATGGAAAAATCTGGTGGCAAAAATAGTGAAAGGGTCTGTGGTCAGGACTGGGCGCTGGCCGATGTGACTTCACCAGGGTCCTGTGTCTCTCTTGGCGTGCGCAGGTCCCGTGGCTGTCATCAGCGGGGAGGAGGACTCAGCCAGCCCTCTGCACCACATCAACCATGGCATCACCACGCCCTCGTCGCTGGACGCCGGGCCGGACACGGTGGTCATCGGCATGACCCGCATCCCGGTCATTGAGAACCCTCAGTACTTCCGTCAGGGACACAACTGCCACAAGCCAGACACGTGTGAGTACTGCAGTAGAATGTTGTCCCTTCTGGGGAGGGAGGGTGACGTGACGATAGACCACACGTAGCTGGGGCTCTGGAACCTTCTGCAGTGACCTACCACCTGCTAACCTCCCACTCTCTCAGAGACCCTCCCTCTTTGTCTCAAAACTTGAAGGATAGCTTGGGCAAGGAGATGCTACTGGGACAGGGTCCCCTGGGCAGAGGGGCTCAGGGCAGGGAGCAGCCCGGAGGCAGGAGGCCCCGCCCCACCTGGAGAGGTGCTCCCAGTAAGGCAGGGGGCACAGACATGGCTGGTTTCATTTGTGGACCTGCCTGTGTATTCAGGAAATATAACCTGACTCTGTCCAACCCCTCGGGCCGTCAGACCCTCCACCCGCACATCCACGAGGGGGAACGGGGATGAAGGACGATGAGTGCCTTTTGAATGGAAACATCTCTCTAGCTGCCCCTCCAGTGCCCCGAGCTGTATGTCCTGAGAACTGGATCATGACCCCAGGACTAGGACCCTCCCCTCCCCACTGCAGATGTCTCACTCTGATCTGAGGGCTCCGGACACCTGTTTCCTACTGTCTCTTACCTCCTGTAGGTTCATCCCCTCTCTTGGTATTTCTGCTGAGCTCTGCTAGGGCCTCTCCCAGCTCCTGGCGCCTCCATGGCCTGGCCTTCCATCCAGCAGGGGTTCCCCTGGCTGTGTCCCCAGGTTCAGTCTAGGCCCAGCAACCCCAGGGAACACCCCTCCCCTCCCACTGCTCCTGCCCCCAAGAAATGCTCAGCTATACCAGGAGAGGGAACAGAGACCCCCGAAGACTGCCTTAGAGCTGGTAGGGACAGAAGGCATGGGCTAGGCTAAGGCCTCATCTTACAGACAAGTTACCCGAGGTTCTGAGTCCCCCCTCCCTGTCCCCAGGCTTCTGCCAGTCTGCTCTCTTCATCTCTGGTCTGCTGGTCCCAGGTCAGCCTAGGGAGAAATTCCTCTGGCCTTGCTCTGCCCCCAGTGGCGCTCTCTATACTTGGAACACACTCTGTAACTTGGAGAACTCTCGCTGCTCCCACCGGTCCGTCTTATAGCAGAGTGGGCATTTGGCTACCCCATCCACCTTGGCTTCTGTTTTTCTGGCTTTGATTTTTAGTGAGAGGATTGCCATAGTGGGAGGGACTGGGCTGGAATCAGGATAAGGCCCTCCGTTGTCCTGGCCATGAGTGCCTTCCAGAATCCGTCTCGGTGTTTATCAGACTCCCCTATCAAGTGTCAGTTTAGAGAAAAGGAACTTGGGTTCTGGACCAGGGCTGGGCAAGGGAAGAAAGATAGCTGTGTTTCAGATAAACAGTGGAGAAGACAGTGCAAAGAATGGTTCTCCTCTGGCTGAAGCTCTTGCCTCTGATCATGTTCATCCTGGACTGACCTGGGTGTGGCTGGGAGGAAAGCCCTTCTGTGATGGTAGCATGGGCCCAAGCCCCATCTAGTGTCGGTGTTGCTGAGTTTTCTAAAGTGATGTTGGTGTTTAAAGAGAGACTTGGCATTGCTGTGCTGAATATACAATTGATTTCCATTATTCAAAGTAATGTTCTATAAAGTCACCATGAACACTGAATTAGTGAATGCTGGACCATTGTTCCTAGGGGAAATCCAGGGTTAGGTTCCTGTGAGCCTTTGGTCACAAACTTATTATCAGCTGATCAAGGCATAACCTGTCTTATGCGTGCTTCTGTTTAAAGATAGCTTAGTACATGCTGTTGGTTCATTCACCTTGAACTCACAGTGGCCCCGACAGCGCTGTGACCCATGCCTGAACACAGCATATCCAGCATGCCTCTTTTCTCCATAAGACCCGTCATGGTCATCTTGCTCATAAGAACACTAGACAGCACTTCAGCGCTCTGTTGGGGGCTGCCTTAAACAGGGAGCTCACCCACAGAAAGCACAACATGCAAAAAAGGGGCCTTAAATAGACCATGAAAAGGATGCTTGTCTATGATACAAGAACCAAAACAAGAAGACAAGGCGTGGCCTTTGACCCTCAGCTGGGAACGTGCATGTGGAGTGACTCAGATTTGTCACCCCTCCTGGAGTGTTTGTGAATGGCCGTGAAAGCACTGTGAGTATTGGCTGTGGGTTGGTTGCACCGAAGTTGTGGCGAGTAGGCGAATTCATAAATATGGAATCCAGCCTGCAAGGCGAGGGCTTCCACAAAGATGACCAAAGCCGGAACCACTAGGTCTGTGACTGTGTCCCTTTAGCTGGGACCGGTGGCTCCTTCAGGAGTAAACAAGTGGCTTCTTGGCCAATTGGCCATGGAGCTTGTCTTCTCTGGAAGAAGAGCTGCCAGGACCGGTTTCCCAGCTGTGGTGGGGAGCTCAGAGTCTGCGTGCGTAATGCAGTATTAATAGTGCATCGGCGTGATATAGATTTCTGTCACCTTCTATACTAACAAACATTGCCTAGCGCAGGGTAATGATGGGTGCTTATTCCCAGCCACTTAGCTCAGCGTAACGGACTTGCAGATGAAATATGGAGAATGGGCTTCTTTGTCTGGGAGGCTGGGCGCCCCCCCCCATCCCAGAACCCGGAGCAGAGGCTGCTGCTAGTGAAGAATAAGCCCTTCTAGGTTTTTCTCCAGCAGAAGCCCTGATGGCCTTGCCTGATGGAAGGAAGGGGGTCTAGTTACAGGGCTGGGCTAGGAGCTCCTCCTTCAGGAATGGAGCTGGAAGGAGGAGGCTGGCGTACTAGGGACGGCTGTTTGCTCCCTATGGTTGGTTAAGGAGGCAGACTTGGCTAAATGTGACACAGAGAGGATGGGACCGATGTGGGGGTGGGGAGGTGCTGCTCCGCAGCGTCTCCTCCTTTACTCTGCTGGTTGCGTATCGACAGCCCCCAGTGAGGGAGTGATAGGTGGAACCTTGGTGAAGGCAACCGTGAGACTTTTCCTTAGCCTTTTTTAACCAGTTGGGTATCTCCAGGCCCTGTTCGTCAGGCACTCTTTCTTAGCACATTTTAACTGAACATAAATTAGGATTGTTCCCCTCGGATTTTTCTTCAATCTTATTTTCAGATCCAATTAGGATAAGTATCAGGCCCCTGAGAATGCTGTGATGCTAGGTTTGGTGAGTCCAAGGAGGAAAGGCGTGCTCAGACACATTACCAGTTTTCTTTCTGTCTAGAAAGAGCTAGATGATTCCAGAAGGGGTTATCTCAGGAGCCAAGGCAGTAAGTCCTGGGCCCACATGCCTGAGCTTGTCCTCAGGGTTTCAGTCCCTGGAGATTAACCCCTGTTGGGTGCTGACTCTCAAATCCCTTTGATCTAAGCATAATCTAAGCATGGCATTTTGCCATTTTTTCCCCTTATCCCAGGAAGTAAAAAAATCAAATGATGCCATGTCTCCCAAACTGCCTTAAAACGCTCAACATCCTTGAGCATGTACTTTGGAGCTGTAACCAAGCAGTCCAGACAGACAGACTCCCGTCCACCGTGAGCTAAGACAGCCTGCCTTCCGACTGAGCACCATGACCTCATCTGTTCTGCGCTTCACTGCCGTAATCACATACTCAACGTTAGTAGCTGCATGCCGTCATGCTAATTAAGTAATTAGGTGTAATTACGCTCACTGTAAATACACGGTAATTGGCTTTAAAAAAAAGTACTTAAGGGATAAGCATGTGCTACATGGCGGAGGAGGAGGTGGAGAATGACAAGTCCCCCCGGCCAGCCTGGAGGAATGTCATGGTGGAGCACGAGCCCCAGGGAAGGTGCAGCCATCAGCTGAGAGTGAGATGTGGAGTGGGTCCTTCATTTCCTGTGCAGAGCCTGGAAGCAGAAAGACCACTTGTCTTCTTGGCAGGCCTGGCCTCAGTCTTGTCTTCAGGAGTGGGAGGATTAACTCCCCTCCAGAGATCCTCTCTAGCTCAAGATTTCCCAGAGCCATCTTTACTCTTCTTGTTTTCCTTCAATTTGATTCAGTCTTCCAGTCCGTATGGGAGTTTTTTAAGGGTGATCATCCTGAACCAGCTGAGAAATCCACAGAGGGGTCAGATAAAAGTTGGGCATTATTGCTAGACTTAAGAAAATTGCTTAAAGTCAAAATGGGCTTCCTGATCCCAAGCCTTGAATTTGGGATACACAGAGCAGATGCTGTCTATATAGTTGCATGGACGGTAGAGTCTGCCTCATGTTTTGCAAGTCAGGAAGCTTAGGGGTGCCCTGGAAAACCACACCGGCAAGGAGAGTCTCCCTTTTCTGCCCCGCCCTACCCAGAAGAGAAACATGATGGGAGGTGATAGGTGGGCAAACCTCCCCCATCAGGTGAATCACTTACCTCTGATGGGGAGGGGCCAAGAGCACAGGTTGAGGGATGGGCTGGAGGTTCCTTCCTGCATCTCCAAGGAGACAGAAATTCCTACTTTATGGGTAGAAGCTAAAAGGCAGGGAAAGGGAAAAGAGACACCTGCCCCCCATCCTTAGAGGCAGCAGGGGCTCTGTCACTAGTGGTCCCCATTAATATTCTCTTTCCAGAAGCCCTTTTCCAGGAGAAAATGGTCATCATCTCCATTTCCTATGAATGAGCATGAGTCATACTCTTGATGGGAGTTGTGCCAAAGAGCCAGGAGTTCTCCGTCCTGTTGTGCTATCTTCTTAATGGTTGATAATTAAAAACCTAAGCTCTACCCATCTCTTAGCCAAGAAGCTCTGAGTCCAATGGCCCTTCCGTCTTCTCCTTTAATTCAGGATTTCCCAAATTGTGCTCTGAGGGATGTTAAACATTTTTCAGAAACAGTGTTCGCTGGTCAAATAAGTGGGAAAACCTGGATTGCATTTTTTTTTTTTACTGTGGGATTCTGATAACTTTTAATGGTAAAGAGCATTGCAACTTCGTAGGAGAATCCCTGAGTCTGCAGCATTTTCTAAATTTATTGGGTCATCAAACCTGATCTTTGAGGTGTCCCTGTTGGCATCTCTGTGGTCACAGATCTTCAGTGGCTCACACTCCCCGCTGCTCTGGGT